AATCTAAACTCAAAATGGTGTTCTGAGAACTATTATTCACCAGATTTTACTTAAATTGGACCAAATTAGGATCGCGACCTAATCCAATTTAAAATGATATTCTTTTAAAGTCCAAAGTGCTTTTAATAGCCGAACTTTTCTAGAAACCAAGTGTCACTTGATTAGTACTTGCTGCCTCGTTAAGTGGTTTTTGCTAATCAAGGTTCTCGAACTGATTTTGTTAAATAACCGTAGTGTTACTGCAAGATTGTTATGGTGATGTTTTCCAAAGATTTTAATGCGCTATTCTTAGTAGTAACTTAAGGGTTGGTCTTTGGGTTGCTAAGGATAGTAGGGTTTAGAGTTAGGGTTGGTCTTAACATGAGCTAATATGAATGGGAAAATAGGGAAGAGCCGTTGGTGGACCTCTTCTTCAGCCTAACCCTGAGTTTAATTAGCAGTTTAATTTCAGAATCAAGGCATAATTAATGGATTAATCAGATTTGTTCAGTTTATTTTCTATTAAAAATTATAAGTATTTTCAAAATGGTTTAAGTTAATTATTACTGTCTACGTTTTTATAAAGTTTAAATGCGTGTTTGTTTGTGTGTTTGTTTCTCCCTGAATGTCTTCTGAATTCGAGGTGCTGCTGTGGTTCCATCTCTAGACTGTTATCTTTATCTTTATTTTATTTGCATTTTTTTTAGAATTATCATTCAAACCCCCCATATCATTTAGTTTAGGTTTTAGATTTTAGTCAGTTTTTATTCAATAAATGTGACAGAGTAAACTGATTTTCATAGCCTAAAAAGTATCTTTCCTCGTGGGATCGACCCTTACTTGCCCTATCTATATGTTTTAATTAATATTAATTCATAAAGGGGGTTAAGAGTTAAGGAAAATAATAAATTAATTTGTAGGTGCTACGACACGCCTATCAACTTTATAAATTACCAAGTATGCAAGTTTGGCATTGGTATTTTTAGATCCTTCTAGAGATCGATGGCATGGGTTTCTAGTAATACGCCGGCCGTACTTTTCAAACCAATGAACATATTCTGCGGTAATTTGTAATGGATTCTCGTCTACTACGGGCTGCATTTGATGAAAAATTGTAAGGGTGAAGCGGTTATCCCTCCAATGAGCCACGCTAGCTTGTACAAAATGTGTCGACGTCAAACCGTTGGGTTTATGATTATTCTTGTCATACGGATGGGTAAGGTTAAGAATGGTTTGCAACATTCCGAACTGTCTTGTGAATCGCATTGACATGACAGGCGCAATAATTGCCCGATAAATTACATATCCTTGGGTAAGTCCAGAGTTGAGAACTACGACGACAATAAGCAGGCAAATAACCAAAATCTTACGGCTCCCAAACAACCTGCATATTGTATAAATTTATTAGTAAATGCATAATATATTTTTTATAAAATATTTTTTGAATATTAGTCTTACGTTTTGAAACTCCAAGCAGTCAAGCTGATTTCATTAAAATCTCGCAGGTATCTCACAAAATCAATTGGTGCGTATATCCCCGAAGAATCTGGAAATAATAAATCGCCTATATATGCATATATGAGCCAAGCAGTATATTGAGCCACCCACTCATCAACTCATTCATTGTTTGGTTGATGCATTTGTCTCTCAAAAAAAGGGCAATCTTGAATTGGTCATAACTATCAAAATGGTTATCCTCGGTGGTCCACATCAATACATCTCTAAATAAGGTATTCCGTTTTGCAATAGTTAAATCAAAACCCATGACGGGAAGTCCATCGATCAGAAGTCCTTGCAAGCATTCCACGTCCTGTAGGGTGATACCCTTCTCACCAAAAGGAAACTGAAATGCGTGTAACTCCAGTCTCCAATGTTGCACAAGAGCAGCGATTAGACCATGGTGTAATCGTATAGGTTGCAAACGGTGCACTCCATAAAACCCAGATCGGTGCAACATTTCATGGACTCTATCATCTTGAAAAATCGTTGGAAGGTTACCTTCGTAGCGAACCGGAGAGACTTTGTTGTCTATAAACGTTGGGTCATGCCACTCTATGTGAACGATGTTTAGCTTGTAAATTAAGAAAGTGTCCCAATCTAGAACCCGCTCTTTCTCTCTTAGGGTCATACATTATGTTTCAAAAAAATATTAGTGAACTATCTACTCATAGTACAATAAAATGGTTAAAAAGAATACAAATACCTTATTTAAAAAATATGCATTACATATTGTAAAATTTTAAAAACTTTTAAAGAATTATTCTAAGAAAACATACATCAATTTTTTGGATGATTATGGAAGAATAGATAAACTTTGAGAATAGATAAACTTTGAATATTTAGTGAAAAAAGAAGGGAAAAATAAATAATTTATAATAGAGTATGAGTTGTAGTTGAAGAGATTAGGTATTTTGTGTGAAAAGAAGAGAAAAAATAGATTATTTGTAGTAGAATTAAAAGGGATGATAGTTAAGGGATTAGGTGTGGGAATGAAGAGTGCAAAACCGAAAAAAGAAGAATTCCGTCAGGCGCAATAATGGTTCTAAATCGGGTTTGTTAGAGCTGATTTTTTTTTGAAAAACGAATTTATGAAAGCCGAAAAGCAAAAAAAAGTTTTGGTTTTATCTAAGCCGATTTACCTGAATAAATTCCCACAGAGGGAAGTTTTGGAGCAAATATTTAGAGAAAAACGGCTTTAGTAAAGCCGTTTTTTACAATTTTTTTTGGAAATCGGCTTTCACAAAGCCATTTTTGTAAAAAAATTAAAAAAATGGCTTTCATAAAGCCGTTTTTTTGTAAAAAATAAATTAAAAAATGGCTTTCATAAAGCCGATTTTTTCATTCCAAAAAATTACGTTTAAAAAAAGGGCTGCTTTCATAAACACTTTTTTTAATAAAAATAAATATTTTTTATGATTTAGTATTTAATTTGTTTAAAAAAATTTAATAAAGAGATGTTCATCAAGAAAAAGTTTAATAAATCATTTAAATAAAGGGATTGGACAAATCAAATTTTAAACAAAAAATCTAAATAATTTTCAGAAACTTGTTTTTAAACGAATAGTAGGCAATATTGAAAACATAAATATATTAAAACATCAACAGAAAATTACATTCTCAACATCTGAAGTAAACGAAAATTAAATACCTTCCCTAATACAAACTAAAAAAATATTAAACTAAAATCATCTCCTTGCCCTGAAATCCATCTCGCCCTGGTATCGATTGCGTTGACGTCACCCTAAACGTGGAATCTCATCTGTTGGCCGTTTGGGAGGTAGAACTTTAAAGCTGCCAACTTCCAAATTCCGAGGGAAAAAAACAGGTTGAATTATACCACTATAACAACTCAAATAGTTTTGAACAGAGTACCTAGCCGGTAAAATGTTGTGAGGAACTTGTTGCCGAAAAGAGTGGTAAACAGCATGAACATGAACACAAGGTATACTATCGGAAGTCCACTGCCCACAAGTGCATACACTAGGAAGAAAGACCAAAGTAGGACTAAAACATTGAAAATATACCAAAATAGGACTTCCATGTTTTTATTCTCGAAATAGGACTTGCATTACCATACATGGTCATATACATTACCAAAAACGTATAGTAATTTGCACATGTACACTGCCACAATACCACAGGACAAAGTCACATTACCACAGTGCAAAGTCCTATTTCCGAAAAAAAACATGAAAGTCCTATTTTGATACTTTTATATATGTTTTAGTCCTATTTAGGGTGATTTCTACATACACTACTAAACAAATTGACCAAGTAGCTGTAAATAGAAGAAGGGTTTGTTCGAGATGTGCGAGTCACTACGTATTGGTTGTTACCGTAGCTTGAGATTGTCCACTTGTGCTTAGTTTTCTCCCGATTAAGGAGAACTTTTTTAATTTTCGGAGCAATGTGCATGCTCTGTTCTTGCCACTGAATACCAAGCTTGTACCTTTTAACAAACAATTCAACCATCTAGGCATAGGACATGAATAAAATGGCAGTGACAGGTAACATTCGACAACCTTTCAGCTTGTTGAAACTCTCAGAACTATTTATCGTTAAGATACCACACCTAAACCCACCATCAAAACAAAGGATGCGAAGTTATCACCACCCAAATCGCGTGTGTCAAATTGTGTCGCACCAAAAAGATCTTCTTGGGTATTTTGTCCGGGTTGAGTATTGTCAGTTTGCGGGAAATATGGACCAGTCTCGACCTCGTCAGCATCAAACTCATTCTCGTCTCCATGCATTTCTTCATCTTCAACAAGCTCATCTTCGTTGCGGTCAACATTTTCTAAAGCACCCCTTAGTGTGTCTCGAACCTCTGCAGCAACCGCTCCGGGAACTTTACCGAGCCGACGCTCCGCTTTCTTTATTGTATTCACCTGCGAAAAATATATCTGTTAATGAAGTATTTATTTTATTATAAGTAAATATTTATAATTTCTAAATTACCAAGAATGCAAGTTTAGCAGAAGTATTTTCAGATCCCTCTAGAGGTCGATGATAGGGGCTTCCAATAATACGCCGACCGTACGTTGCAAACCAGTGAGCATGCTCCACGGTAATTTGGAATGGATTCTCTCCTACTATGGGCTCCATTTCATGAAAAACAGTAAGGGCGAAGCGATTATCCCTCCATTGCGCCACGCATGCTTGTATCGAATGGGTCGATTTACATCCCTTGGTTTTATGATAGGCCTCCGTATATGGATGGGTAATATCAGGAATGGTTTGCAACATCCCAAACTGTCGTGTGAATTGCATAGGCATGACAGGCTCAATAATCGAACGATAAATAACATAGCCTTGGAAAGTCCATAGTTGAGGACTATGACGACAATAAGCAAGCAACTGATCAATATCGTACGGTTGCCAAACAACCTGTATATTGTATACATTTATTAGTCAATGCATGATCTATTTTTTACAAATTATTTTATGAATATTAAACTTACGTTTCGGAACTGCAAGGAGTCAAGTTGATTCCTAAAGTAGCGTACATTTTGCCTAGCAGAGGCACTGTACATCTTGGTTTGTCTCCACCTGAATAATAATAAATGTATAGGAACTTGAATAAAATAAGAGAAAAAAAGTTATAACCTCGATAATCTAAATTAATGTAAATAAATACCGTGCACCAAATGGGTCGTCTTTGCGGGGAGGCCCGTGTGGATTGTTCGAAACATTATTGACTATGGGTCTTATGGTCAAAATCCGAGTCCACGCCCATAATTGCAATAGAAGAAGACAACCCCCGGGACGTGTTCGTGGGTTAGTCTTCAACGCAGCCTTACAGAGCGAAAAATTTAATCGCGCTAAAACTGCAGAGCCTCAACTAAAAGTAGATGTTTCATTAAAATCTCATAGATATCGCACGAGATCAATTGGTGCGTACAAACCCGAAAAATCTGGAAATAATAAACCACCCATATAAGCATATATGAGCCTAGCGGTATATTGAGCCACCATCTAATCAGGCTATTCATTATTTGGTTGAATGGTTTGTCCCTCAAAAAGAAGGGCAATCTTGAATTGGTCAAAACGGCCAAAATGGGTGTCCTCGGTGGTCCACATCAAAACATCTCTAAATAAGACATTCCGTTCCTCAATATTTAAATCAAAGCCCATGACGGGTAGTCCATCAATCGGAGGTCTTAGTAAGCATTCCACGTCCTGTAAGGTGATACCCATCTCACCGAAAGGAAACTGAAATGCGTGTAACTCCAGTCTCCAACGCTCAACAAGAGAAGTGATTAGACCATGGTCTAATCGGATAGGTTGCACACGGTGCACTCCATAAAACCCTGACCGGTGCAACATTTCATAAACTTTATCATCATGAAAAACCGTTGGAAGACTACTTTCGTAGCGAACCGGAGAGACTTTGTTGTCTATAAAATCTGGGTTATGCCACACTTCACGCGAACGATGTGTAGCTTGTAAAGTAAGAATGTCTCTCGATCTAAGACCCGTTATTTCTCTCTCAGGGTCATACATTATGCTTCAAAAAAAATTCTAGTGAACTTCTATCTACTCATAGTACAATAAAATGGTTAAAAAAATCTTGTTTAAAAAAATATGCATTACATATTGTAAAATTTAAAAAATATGCATTACACATTGTAAAATTAAAAAAATATATGCATTACATATTGTAAAATTAAAAAAAATATGTATTACATATTGTAAAATTAAAAAAAATATGTATTACATATTTAAAAAACTTATGAAGAATTATTCTAAGAAAACATACATCAACTTCTTGGATGATTATGGAAGAATAGATAAATTTTGAATATTTAGTGAGAAAATAAGAGAAAGAATATGAAATGTAGTTGAAGAGATTATGTATTTTGTGTAAAAAGAAGGAAAAAATTTGATTATTTGTAGAGTAAATTATATAAAAGGTCTCCAGTTATAGGTCGTTTTACATATTTAGTCCCTACATATCAAATATTACTAATTTAGTCCCCAATTATTATATTTATTTCCACGAATGGTCCTTTGTTAACATTTTCGTTAAGAACATGGACAAAATTGTATATTCATACTTCTCTCTCTCTCTTCAATTAAGCCTCCTCCATTTTCTCATACTCTTTTCCAAACTCGTCGCTGAGTTTGAATCTCTTAAACCCAAAACTTAATTGATCATTCCTCCAGTTAGACAAACAATTGAGAGAAGAGTGATGATTTTGTTTTATGGTTCAAAGCTAGAAACTCAGCGACGGGTTTGAGAAAGATGTGCAAGGGAGGAGAAAAGCTTAAATGAGGAGAGAAAGGAGTGTGAAATTATAATTTTACCCACGTTTTTAACGAAAATGTTAATAAAAGACCATTCGTGGAAATAAATATAATAATTAAGGACTAAATTAGTAATATTTGATATGTAGGTACTAAATATGTAAAAAAACCTATAACTGAGGACCTTTTATGGAATTTACTCTTATTTGTAGTAGAATTGGGAGGGGTATTAGTTGAAGGGATTATGTGTGGGAATAGGAAGGGGTGGAGTGTGAAACGGAAAAAGGGAGGGGAATCACCGCGCACGCACTGTGCGGCACTGTAGATGGGTATTGTAGCTCCATTATTTCACTGAAATGGCTTTTGGAAAGCCGGAAAAAATAGATTAAAAAAACGGCTTTATGAAAGCCAAAAACCAAACAAAAATTAAAAAAAAAACGGATTGTCAAAAGCCGATTTTCCTTCTCAGGAATTTACCTTTCCCATTTGGGAATTACCTTGCCAGGGAATTCTTTTTCCAACCAAGAATTAGTTGTAAAAAAGTTTAAACCACCCACCCCTCAAGTCCTCAACACCAATTAAACAGCGACGAAAAAGAAATAAAGAGAGAGAGAGAGAGACGAGATAGACAGGGCAACAACAGAAAGTAGAGCAGTGGAAAAGAGCAGAATCGAGGCAGAAATTCGAGACCAACTTCTCAGTCTGATTCAATTAATTAAAAGATTTAAACAATTCAATTCGCACCATTCATCTTCCATTGACCAATCACATATTCTAATCTATGAATCAATTCTAACTAGAGATAAATCACTCACCTCAATTTAATTGGCGAAAACCTCAATTGAATCCAAGTAGAACTCCGTCAAGGAACTCCCGCGATGCTTCTTAATCTGCTTAGATCTCCTCCCCGCAGATCTCCATCTGCGCGCTCAAAGGAAAGGGAAACTCGGCGATGATGGTGAATGATGGAAGACAACCGGGAACAGAGAGGAGGAACGACGATCTACGCGGTGATTTTGGCAAAGATCAACGGAAGCTGCTGATGATGGTGATCGGCCAAGATGGTGATGATTTTTGCGTACATTGCATATGTATATAGTAAGTGTACCCCATTTGTCCCTCACCCCCTCCATTACTACAAAAATGGCCAAATTAAAACAAAATTAAATAAATAAAAATGGGGTAAAAATGAGTGGTGAAAAAAGGGGTGAGAGACAAATGGAGGGAAATTTGATTATATATTGTACTGGACAAAGGTGTACCCCTAGCATTGCTCATGTATGTATATTATATACTGGACAAAGGTGTACCCCTAGCATTGCTCATATATATATATTGAGAAATTTGATTAAATAGACTAAAAAAATAATGACTTTCTCAATATAAAATAATACGGAGTATGTTTTTATTTTTTAATGTAAGACTTTTGATCATTATTAATTAGTCATTATTCAACTAAATATCCATCATTACTGGACATTATTCCTTCAACTAGATAATATTAAGTCCTATTAAGAAAATAAAAAAATTTCAAGAGCTATATTAAAATTTAAGAAATGACTTATGTTTTAATCTTATCTAATGTAAATTTCACTATATATATACTATCTCCGTCCCTAAATAGATTACAATTTTTTTCTCTCTCCTCTCGATAACTTTTGTTTGTTTACGCGATTTCATTAAGTATTTGATAAAATAAAATATTCTTATCACCTCTTATTTTGTAGAACTTTTGACGTAGTTTTTTTAATATGTAATTTTTATGTCTTATTGATATAGCAATTTGTAAATAAAATGATTTCAAAAACTAACAAATTTTACTCCGTAACCTGAAATTTGTAATAAAATTGGGGACGGAGGGAGTATTTAACAAGAGGTTTGGGAATTGGGCTTTTCCAATGATTGGTGAAGTCTCAAATTGGGTAGGAATGTAATGGTATATACTTCCTCCGTCCCCAATTTGATTACAAATTACGGGTTACGGAGTAAAATTTCCTACTTTTTAAAATCATTTTATTTACAAATTGGTATATCAATAAGATATAAAAATTACATATTAAAAAACTACGTTAAAAGTTCTACAAAACAAGAGGTGCCAATAATATTTTATTTTATCAAATACTTAATGAAATCGCGTAAACAAACAAAAGTTATCGAGATGAGAGAGTAAAAAAAATTATAATCTATTTAGGGACGGAGGGAGTACGTATTATCATTATTAATACTCCGTATTATTTATTTATTGAACTTTATCATCTATTTTACGTATAATTTCATACGAGTAAATCCAAGCTACAAACTATATGTGGTTGGTCATCTTTTCACGAGGCCTACTCAATTACCCAAAATTGGATATACTCCTTCTGTCCCTGAAAACTTTTTTCCTTTTCTTTTTCATCCGTCTCAAAAAAACACTTCTTATTTCTATTAAAAAATCATTTTTATTATTTACTTTTTCATACTTTATCTATCACATCCTACCTGTTTACTAATAATCTACCCATCAAATCTCACTTTTACTGGTCACATCAAAGAACATTTTTGAAAATTCAATACCAAAATACACTCCCTTTAAATTTCTTCAAAATCAAAACATCACATGTTTAAAAGGATCGGATGGAATATAATATTATCTCTACGACATACATATATCTTATTGTTTTACTTTATTATCTTTTTAAATCTTGGACGATGAAACTCCTAACTTTCCTAATTTAGATTTACACGCGAAATACGCTGTTAAACTCGTTTCTCGAGACCTTCAATTAGACTAGAAATTGGACTATTAAAAATCAACTTTGCATTTAACTTATTTTAAACACTATCTTTATAAATTTTATTTTTTATTTTATTTAGATATAAAATTATAATTATATTTTTATCAGAAATTAATTATAATTTTTAGGATATATTTCGGGGTGTTACATGGTGTGTTCATCATCATCGCTCGAGGGTATGTACTCATCATATCATCATCATAACTGTAGGGGTTGTCGATAATTTTCTCTGCATTTGTCTCCCGCCTTGATCGAACATCACGTCTCGAAGGACCAGCCTTATCGTCACTAATACGATCACTGATGTATATTTCTAGTAACCCAAGGGAATTAATTTATGAGAAACAATTCCCATGACATATTACTATCAATACCCATCAATTTGGTAGAAATAAATCAAATAATACCTCCACGGAGTAAAAAAAATTCCAGATATTTTTGGTATAATGCAATAACCAGCTGCACTATAATGCAATTGAATTTCTTCGCGAATGTTTCCCCAAGACATAATTGACTTCATAATCAAAGATTTTTTACTCTCTTGTGTAAGAAATATTTCCACTACTTTACATTTTCTCCTCCCCAATATATATTAAGGATTTGATTTTCTAAAGATGACATTTTATTGCTAAAAAATACTAAGACAGAGAAGAAAGAATTGTATGTGATAGCCCTTTGGTTGAATATATATTTGTAGATATAATTAGCTTTTTTTAATTATACTCCCTCCGTCCACAAAAAAAACTTCGCATTCACTATTCACAGGGTTAAACTTTATTTATTTTGTTGCCATATTTCGTTACCCATCTAATAAAATAGTATAGTCATGTCACCTCTAGTTTTGTACTTCCTCCATCCCAGAAAGAATGTCACGGTTACTATTCTGGCCTCTCGATAACTTTTGTTTGTTTACTCGTTTTGGTTGACCATTTGATAAAATAAAATATTCTTGTCGCATCTTGTTTTGTAGAACTTTTCATATACTTTTAAATGGTGTAATTTTTACTTTTTATTACTTTATCCATTTGAAATTAAAGTAATTTTAGAAGAGATGATATTTTGCACGTCGTTCGAAGTGTTGCAAATAAATTGGGACAGAGGGAGTAAATCTTTTGATATGTAATTTTTATTTTTAAATTTTATACTATTTTTCATATAAAATGATTTGAAAATAACTTCAGTCAAATATCGTAATACGCAACGAGAAATTTATTTGTTGACGGAGGGAGTGCATGATTTTTTTTAAAAAAACAGTCAAATATGGAATATTAAAAGCAGAAACCATGCCTGACATCCTGTCAGCCGAAAATCGGCTTTACCTAAGCCGAAATCAGGCCGGGTAAAAAACTAAATTTGAATTTCAAATTTTCAGCTTTAGCTAAGACGAAATTATGCTGGGTAAAAAATGAAATTTGAATTTTCAAATTTTTGGCTTTAGCTAAGCCGTTTTAAGCCAGCCTAAATTAAATACCGAAGTATCATTTTTCGGTCCAAATTTGAAATCAAATAGCCAAATCCAATGTTTGACTCTGTTTTTATATTAAATTTGAAAAAACAGACATCTAATGCATCCATTACGTTACTTAAAAAGTTGTGCTCAAATTCATACCATCAAATATAATAAATAAAATCTTCAAATTAATATTCCATTACAAATATAAGAAATAAAAACTTCAAACTTCAAATTAATAATCCATTACATGACTCAATAGAGTTAAAAAAATTACAACTTGAAATCTACGATAAAACCAATAATCTATAGTTGTGTTATTTAGTTCATCGTAATCATGCGGCATAGACAAAGAACCAATGTTATTAGCAATAAAACCTTTAGTGTTTAATTAAGATGCACCGAAAAGATCTCCCTGGGTCATTTGTTCGGGTTGGGAAGCTTGAGTTTGTAGAAAAGATCTACCATCACCATTCTCATCTTCTTTTCCTTTATATGCATCAACATTTATGTCGTCCTCTTCTTTTTAATCTTCTGCCAACACCATTTGGTTTTGATCAACGTTTTCTAAAGCATCTCTTAACATGTTTCAAACCTCTGCAACAACAGATTTGCGGACTGGACCGAGTCTGCTTTCTCCCTTTTTTATTGTATTCACCTACGTAAACAACTCGAAGTTAGTTAATTATTAATGTTATTTTAACTTCACATTTAGAAATTACCAAATAGGCAAGTTTGGTGGATGTATTCTCTGCTCCTTCTATAGGCCAGTGTTGGGGTTTCCAATAACACGCCGACCGTACAATATAATGCAAACCAATTAGCATAATATGGGTGCACTACTACAAAAATGAAAAGGTCTTCGAAATAAAAGGTGTCAAGAATATTTATTTTATCAAATAACCAATAAAAACGTATAAATAAACAAGAGTTCCCGCTTCTCCAACTGCTGAAAAAGCAAGTGTGACAAATATTTTAGTACGAAGGGAGTATTATATATGACAGGTAGACACTTTAAAACAATTACATCCCATCAATAACCAAAATGGTACTCCCTCAGTTCCAAAATATTCACCACACTTGCCTTTTCAGCAGTCGCGAGAACTTTTATTTATTTCTACATTTTCACTAGTTATTTGTTACTGTAAAATAAAATATTCTTGACACATCTTATTTCGAAAAATTTTCATGTAGTTTTTTTATATGTAAATTTATTTTTTTATTTCTATACCAATATGTAAATAATATAAATTAAAAAAACTTGATATTTTACCTCGGAAATACAAGTGTGACAAATATTTAGGGACGGATAAGGGAGTATCCACTTATCACTGTCACAACGACACAACCTATTTGCGTTCGCATTTCTAGGCAAGATGGCAATGTACTTAGATTCAAACAATAAACACAAATTCTCATGTTTGGGTCGATTGAACGAGTGAAAAAGCTTCAAAAGAAGTCCTATTGCAATAGTTTAAATGACTTCGAATCTTTTATCCAGCGTACCTTACTTCACCCATAAGATCAGATACCTGTATTGGTTTACGATATTTGATTAGAATTATTTTCAATATGATTTATTTAAAATTGGAGTAAAATTAAAAAACAATTTACATATTTAAACATTACATTTAAAGATCTGCAAAATAAGTAGTGACATGATTATATTATTTTATCAAATAAGTAACAAAAATATGGAAAAAATAAATAAGAATTGATCCTATGAATAATAAACAAACTTAAATTATGACGAATAGAGTATACAATAGATGCGATATAACTATTATCTTATCAGACGAGTAACGAAAATAAGTAATGAAAGCGACTAAAATCTGATTTTGTGAATGGTAAACATACGACTTAAATAGAGACGGGATAGTAGTAAGGTAATTAAACTATACGGAGTGGAGAATTAAAAAGCAACTCTCACCCTCGTCCATTAAGGCGTACATCTTGCTAGAAAAATATTTGTGGGTTACTACAACTCATTTGCTGTTTTCGCACTTGTCAGTTGACCCTCTTAACAAACACCAAAGAGGATAAAACAAAAACAAGAATAAATAAAGACTTACTCTATTCAATCAACAGAGCCAGATCTATGCACTCAATAAGCTGCTTCACCTCTTCATATGAGGGCAAAAATTAGTTCTACTCTTGGCTCATTACCGGCGTTCAGGTCAATCGAAAACCATAAATAAAGTTTATGCTTGAAAGAAGAGAAAAGAGATGATGCCACTTAGGCGCTTCATAATATGCTCCACATCCTCTCCAAGGCAATGTTAATACACCTCAAACAAATCCCCGAACTCAAGTGATGGGGAGACACTGCAAATGAACAAGGGTAGAGTTTTATTCCGCCACTTGTTAGTAGTTCCATTATCAGTGTATGTCAAACAGACCACTTACAAAGGTCAGTCACAATCAACACTTGCAGACTTCTGAGCATTTTGTAACGAATGCTCAGCCCCCTGCCTGAATGACACTCAGCTCTCAATGACATAATACATGACCATGTCCTATAACTTTTTTGTCTTCCTTTCTTCAAATGTTATATTGTACTACTAAAGTATTGACCCTATGAGCATATTCACTGTTTCTCCCAAGCCAAAGCTACCTGCACTAGCAGTAAGGAACCTATCCTTTTGTGATAAAAATCACCGGAAGGCGAACCACCACCCCCCCCCCCCCAAAAAAAGAATGGAGTCTCAAACATTTCAGTCAGGCATTCCATCAGTTAGCAAAGCCAGAAAATGCTTACAGCATTAAGCATAATACCTGATACAAGGTCTTCAATGTAATCACATTTAATTTTACCATGAGCCATTGCACCAACCTGAAAATTCACATGAGATCACTAGTTTATTAAGCATGAACTGCCGACAGACAAAGTAACTCAACTAAAATAAGGTACTAAAACCCACCACAAACACCATATCACTATTGCTACGGATTCCCTTAATATAATCCCGCAGTTGAACAGCTTTTTCTGAGCTGAATGAAAGACCTGAAGTGGCACAAGTTATGTTAGGGACTACCAAAGCCACAAACAACTTCACTCTTGTGTTAGTCGATATATTCACCTATTTTGTATGAGTTGAAGGGTAAATGCTTCGTTACAGGATTGTCTACCAGGCGCAACAGCTTTATACCCTTGCCCTTTGCTTTGATACTCAGCTTTTGAAGCAATTGGGCTGCAGCATTACAGATATTAGAAGCTATGAGCTGGAAAATATGAAGGGCAAACATAGAGGCAAGGAGGTGGTCTCAAACCTTTTACATCAAATGGGAGAAAACAACTTACCCATCATGTTACAGAAACTTGCCAAAGTCCTCGGAATCTGAGCAAATGGTTCTACTTTGATCAAGGCTCCTCCATCTGTCTTGATGTATACTGCACTCAACCGACCAGCCATACGAAGTCGACTATCCATAATTTGAAGGAGTGCCTGAACAGAGTAATAGTTTAAATTCAAGCAAAAAAATAAAGCATAGAATGTGAAGATAGGAAAATGTGCACCTCAAAGAACACTTGACTTCAATTTTTTAAAAATAAAGATAGAAAACAACTACTCCCTCTGTTTCCCTCTATTCTTCACACCTCTCTTTGGCACCCAATTTAAGGCGGGAAATTAACTAGGTTAGAGTTAAGCAAAAATTCTATAATTTGGTGACAATAACGTTTACATTATTGTCATCAAATCAAAGAATTTCTGCATAACTCTATCCTAGTTGATTTCCTGCCTTAAATCGTGTGCCAAAGAGAGGTGTGAAGAATAAAGGCAAACGAATGTAGTAATACCTAAAATTATTGAGACTATATAAGCCACACTCTTCCTCCCCAATCCTTTCCCAAAAAAAAAAAAGAAAATTTTCTTTCTATCCCGTTCTCTCTATAGGAATTGCATTTATCCATTCAGTAACTAAACTACAAACAGAAAGGTGCTCACAAAGTGAATCTTTGGAACCGAGTTATGCGCGAGGTTTCTTTTCCGTATCGTTTCCAGCAGAACCAAAGATTCAATAATTCTTCACTTTGCTTTAGGAGGGAGCATTTCAGGCACACACGTAACAAGTGAGTGCAATGAGCAATTGATAAGGAAGGCTAGGTTAGTGACCATCCGTACTCTCATTACCAATACATTTTGCTTTTATAACTACTGGGGCAAGATGGAATAAAGCAAACTTGCTCACTAAATTGTCTTTCTTATATAATGAAGTAGAATTTGGGGAGTGCAAATTTCGAGGCGGTTTTTCACTATTGGTCATTTGGAAACAACGTTTATGCATTTCTGAATAAGGGAAAGATAGCATACATTAGGGCTCCCTTTACCCAGTGTGCAACAATATTGATGTCAATAAAATACGGATACACATCATCAATGTTTGATGCTGAGAATTTTAAGCATCTCAGCAAAAAGGGACGTATACCAGAACCTTACGCATTTCTTGTTTCATGATGCAGCATATGGTCACCCCACAATCAACCAAGTCTTAGAGAAGCCTGCCTGAATGCGATCTCCTATTAGGTTAAAGATGATGTGACGTACATCATTCGATCATCCCTTTCACAAACCTTACCCTATCAGCCAAGCATATGTAAGCGCTCTCTAGTTCCATTTCTGAAAGCATTACCCCATCTATTACCTAGCCCCTTTGTAGAAATGCAACCACTGAAGATACAGGCAGCACAAATGGAGAATGCAAAGCAGTACAAAGTGGTCCACAATGCGGACAAGAAATTACTAGAAAGGAGCAGGAGAGCAGACAGACCTCATGAACAATGTCAGGCCGATAATCATAAGGATTCAACTTCTTTTTCCGCAAATAATCGGCATGCTCATCAGAAGAAAGTATCTGGTACCTCTGAGAGATGTAAAAAGAAAAGTTAGAATATTACTAGAAACCAATATCAAATGCAATTACATGTCTTCCAAGACGAAAGAGTGAACTATTGGCAAGGAGATGCACTTACCTTGCCAATATAAGCAAGTGTTAATGACGCCTCCTCAAGAACAAATGTAACACTTCCTTGATGATTAGAAGGGCCGCGAATTGGCATAAGAATGCCAACAAGATCACTTTCTTCATCTCCTTGTTTCAATTCATCAGGCCTCACTTGACCACCACATACACCTATTGAATTTAGCACCTTATTGTTCAAACTTTCTTTGCCGTCATTTATCCACTCAGCCCTCTTTTTTGTAGAGCATGACTGCAAGGATGTTGACTTTCGCTTTCGTTTTTGGATCCTAGTAAACATACACTTAATTGTATTAGTATCAACTCATGCACACACTCCTCAGAACCACACAAACCCGATCACGTACCCAGATATCCAGCCCTCCTGCAAAATAGCGGGTTTGGGCTTGACATTTTAGGATACGGGCCAAGCTCGGGCTTTATAAACAGCGGCCCGTGTACTTTAGGGCTAGGCTTAGGTTTTATGCTCAAGCCCACAGCCAGGCCCGACCTGAGTGAATAATACTCTCTATGTCCCAGAAAGAGAGGGTCATATTGACTAAAGTGGAAAAATAAGATAGGGATAATTTTGTTTAGACTTTCCAAAAATACCATTGATGCGGTGTGTAGATTATTAGGAAAAAGATATGATGTGATAGGTAGGGTATAAAAAAGTAAGTGTAAAAGTGATTTTTTAATAGAAATGGGAAGGAAATTGTGAGACACCTTTTTTGAAACGTGAAGGAGTTTTTGGGACGAAGGGAGTAATATTTATAATTACTATAATTATAATAAATAATAACAGCATTAATATCCATAATAAATACACCAATAATATTTCAAATTATTATAAACAGATATACATACTCAATACTTTTGTGGAGAAAAAGAGGGAATTTTAAGTATATTTAACAAAAAGAGTACATCTTTATTACCAAGTATTATCTACTAAGCATCACACATGCACACATTGATAATGATATTCAAATACTACCTCTGTCCCAGAGTATTTGTCCACTTTCATTTTTACACATCATCCAATGCACTTTTTTAATCCATTTTATCTTGTAATTTGTATATTTAAAAATTATAGAAATTATATATTAATAATCTATATGTTAAGACAAATCAAACAAGATCACACATGACTATATTTAAACTTACACATTGAGAGAATTTGATGAGTCAAAGTGCTTAGATGAACATTTCTAAAAGTCAAAACTGGAAGAATACTCCGGGACGGAGGGAGTAAGTAATACTCCCTCTGTCCCAAAATGTTTTACACTTCACGCAAAATGAAGTGATATTTCAGCGTTTTTTAATTCATTTTATTTAAAGATTGGTATAGAAATTAAAAATAAAATTACATATTTAAAACTACATCAAAAATTCTACAAAACAAGACGTGACAACAATATTTTATTTTATCAAATAATCAAACAAAACATTCAAATAAAGAAAAGTTTTTGTGACTTTTAAATAGTGAACAATGTAATTCTTTTTGGGAAGAGCAGACTAATGTAGAGCATACTTTTAAAAACCAGACCCCCCCCCCACACACACACACACACACATGTTTGAACCACTAGGTGTGTGTGTGTTTGTATGTATGTATGAAAAACTATATATAACTAATAAAAATTATGCTCCCTCATTTATAAATAACCGGAGTAAACAATTTATGACCATTGACCAAAATTATAATCAATTTAACTTACTTGAGTTATGTGACTAGATAAAAAATAAAATTCACATATTTAAAAACATTACTAAAATTTTATAAAATAAGAAGTGATTTTATATTTTCAAATAAGTTACCCAATATTAACAAAACGTAACAGTCAAATAAAATATGTGTGATATGCATTTTGTAATAGTAATAATTATATCAATGATTTTGAGTTTGAATCATAGCTATAACATTATAGATTTCAAAGTTTTTACAAACTTAAATAAAATCCTTGAGAATATTTATTTTTTAATTGTTGAATATTTGGATACATTAAGCTAAAATGTAACAAAATGCATTCTAGCTTATATGGTAACAACTTTATCAAGTATCTAAAGGAATGGGGGTTCGAACCTCCATGGAGTAAATTTTTGAAAAAATATTCGGAAAAAAAATTGGTCCGGCAGTTCTTACCGGTTCACACCGGTTCAAACCGGTTCAAGTGAACAGGACAGTCAGACCACCGGTTCGCCGGTTCATGGTCCGAACCGGCCGGTCTGGTCCGGTTTTTAAAATTATGGTACGTAGTAACATTATCAAACAAAACACATTTTATCTATTAGCCGTTCTTTCATATACTCATTACAGTTATTATATCAAACATCTAATATGTTAACATATTATTTTATTTAAATTTTAAAAATTATTTTTAAATTATTTAGAAGTTGTTGTACATACAGACCGGGTTGGCCCGAACCCCGTGGGTACCCATGAGGGTCGGTCTCGGACTTCAATTGTTAGGCCTGCTATCTCGTAATGTAGCGTCTCAGCCCGACCTGCACTTTGATGAAGTGCACTTTGATCAAGTTTGAGCCATCATAACATGCACTTTTCTGTTGATGGGGGAAGAGCCCCTAATAAGTCGAGTCTACCATTCTCAATTAGCACAATTCAAAACACCAACAACCAAACAATCCTCCATCATACCTTCACTAGTACTATATGAGATTATATCAAGCTCCGTAAATTGAGCAAGTCTCGAGAGTAAAATATTGGACAATATTGCATTAGATTAAAAGCTCCTACAAACATAGTTATTTAAGGCGTGATGCGCACCGATGCACAAAGTACCTCTAGCGCCTCGATGCGCGATGCGCACTTGATGCGCGCGCATCACGAACACAATGCGCAGATTAAGGCACCAGTAGATTATTGAATATATAGTATATCTACATTAAGAATAGTATATATAAAATTGTTAAAAGCATAATAAAGGTTTAGAAATCAATTAAGATTGAAAGTCACACATTGTACCATAGAGGCATTGAAAAAATTAAAAACCATAAAGTTCAAAGAGCAACAAAAGTCATAGACAAAAAGCATTCAAAGAGCAACAAAATGATAGACAAAAGGCTAAGAAGGAAGAAAACCAGCGAATTATTAGAATTTGGGCCATCTTCCCCTTCTAAATCTGCAGATTCTTCCATACTACAACAAAGTGTTTGACAAATTAACTTGTCCAGTAGAAGGAAGAAAACCAGCGACAGAAAAAAATAAAGAATAGACGGGAAGGAGAGCCGATATCANATTAGAATTTGGGCCATCTTCCCCTTCTAAATCTGCAGATTCTTCCATACTACAACAAAGTGTTTGACAAATTAACTTGCCCGGTAGAAGGAAGAAAACCAGCGACATAAAAAAATAAAGTAAGAATAGACGGGAAGGAGAGCCGATATCACCTGCTTGACTGCTTCTGAGTTCTGCCACTTGCGAGACTGGAGGAAGAGACGGGAAGGTGTGCCGCGGTTTGGAGGACGTGCGAGCCAGGAGGAAGAGTCGCACTCGAAGAAAAAAAGAAGAGAAAACAATCGTTTAATTTGCCCAGGTGCCGTTTAATCTCCTTGGGGGTCGTAAAAGTTGGGAGGGTTTAGCCCTAATAAATAATGCTAATCCCTAAACCTAATTTATAAAATAATAAAAAAAGTAAACAGGTGTTGTTCACAAGGCGCGCCTTTTTGCGCATCAAGGCACTGCGCATAACACGACGAGGCGCAGTAAGGCGCGCGGCTCATGAACTGCGCGCGCATCAAGGTTGCTGATGCACTGCCTCTAGCGCTTCGTGCGCATCGCGCCTCAGGCGCGCCTCAAGCGCGCTTTTCACAACTATGCCTACAAAAAAATGTGGTCAATAAAAAACAAATATCCAATCAGCAAAAGAACAAATACAGGGGTACAACATGTATAACATATACAGAGTGTATATTGTCTTGCTGAGACTATGAGTACTACTTCAAAGTTCAGACATAACATGAAACAACAAGTAAAAAACCAGGTGAAAAAACGGACATAAAATTTGCATCCATCCAACACAAAAACATGGGATAAAAGGCACCAAGATTGATGGAAAGTACAGAATATATATATATTGAAATCAAATTCAACCATTGGGGCACAGAGAGAGAGGGTGAGCACCTGGATTTGAGACCTGCCATTGATTTGAGGATTAGGAGAGGCAAAACAGAGAGAGTGTGAATCCTGGATTCAAGAAATCAGGGTATGCTAAACTGGTGTTAGCTAAATCAGGAAACTTAAGTAGTATGGAGCAATCACACGTGATATTAAGTACGGAGCAATAACATGTGATATGAAGTGCCCTAGGATTGTGGCTTGTTTCTACACTTTCTCACTATTGCAAAGACTACTTATAACTCCTTATGGGTTTCCTGTTTCCGAGTTTTCTCCCATTTTTCTTATTATTTTGATTATCATTACTGAAAACATTGAAGTGTACTTCAATGTTGTTTTTAGGTCGAATTATAGTGGTCTAGGGTCATGTAGTTTTCAAAAATTGCTCTTTCCATGTGTTCGTGAAAAAAATAGGGTCATATAATTTAATCTGATTATAATTAGAACAAGACTTATACTCCTAGTAAGCCTAACTGTAGCACTCCACCATTGCTTACTCCAAATCAACAGCCACTCAGCGCCACATCAGCGTTGACTGCACTCACCATCTCACTCACTCCACACTCGTAGTGCCCCACTTCCACTGCAATGATTATGCTTTTATTTTTTTATTTAAATTGATCTATTTCTACTCAAATTAAATTTTATTTTTATAAAAGAATAGAAATTTATTCTTTTTTTTTCTACTTTGGAATTTTTTCGTTATTTTTTATAGTATTTCAATTTTTATTTATATAGAACTCTTTTATATGCAATATTTGTGTCTTTGGGTAGATCTTGTTAAAAAGTTTTCAAACTCTGAAACCAAGCTTCTTCCATGCACAAACCAAATATATAAGCTTCCACCATACACAAACTATGCTCAAATTATGCCTCTAAATCAGAAACAATTCAGCTTGCAAATAAGCAAGACTTCAACCTCCAAATAAGCAACATAGCAATGAATTGAACGAATCGAGCTTACAAGAAGTAGATTTTCGCAAGCTTACACAAAAGAGATTTGCGATTTATCACCCTAGCTGATAATCTAAACAAATCGAACACATTCAGACCCCTAAAACTTAAGTTATTTGATTTGTTAGACTTTTAAATACATAATATAATAAGATAATTATAAATGGAAAACGCCTATAGAAAAAAAGAATACAAAAATCGAAATAGAAAATAGCATTTGGGAGAAACGTAGGTATCAGAAAGTCGAAAAACATTATACAATTTGGGATTTTGTGGAGCTTTCATTTGATTTTCTATTTGAAATAAAAAAACGAAATACTACGTACAGATTACGATAGGGAGACGGGCGTACCTGAAAAAGAGTTAGGCGATGGAGTTGTGGAGCCTGACGGAGATGGAGGGCGGCGCAGAGAGAGACGGACGGGGATGGGGTGGGCGGGTGGCTGATACGCGTAGAGAGAAGAGAGTGACGAACCTGAAGACAGAGACACGCGCACATAGGGTAATGAATGGCTGGGATTATTGGTGATATAGTGGTGCTATAGTGCTATACTGCTATGCAGGGTAGGTTGCTAGTAGTATACTAGTATTAGGGTGGTAAATGAATGGAATAATTTTGATTTATTGTAATTCTTGTTTCCTATACGTTTGTAGTGATTCGTATTCGAAAAAATTGAAATCGAATCCGAATATAAATAGAATCTTATATTTGTTACGTTAATGAATACGAATATGAATATATCAAATATTCTATTCGACTCCTAAACAAATTTATTCGAAAAGATGAACCGAAATAGTAAATACGGGGTATAAAAAAGTAGGTAATTTATTAATTAATTACTTCAAAATCAAATGTATGTTTATACTCTACTTGAATATGTAATTTTGAGTTTATAATTTTTTTTCTTAATAGCTAATTCCAGATTATATCTATGCAAAGACTTTTTTGGAAAGAGACATTAATATAATTCACATTTTTTAAGAAATAGATCAAAGTTTATAGGATATTTTAAACTTTAAATGAAACGAATATTTTTTAAACGAATCGAATATATTGTGTCTGATAAACGAACCGAATACTTATCTCTAAAAATAACCAAATCGAATACGAATATGAATACAAATATCATCCAAAACTAACGAATACAAACAATATTGTAAAATTGGTAAACTTTAAGACATCCTATCATTGGTAAAATTCTTATGTTTTTTAAAATATACTTTGTAACGCCTTGAAATCCGCATACCATATGGTACCATTCCATTTTGAAGCAAAATGGTACGATATAATACCGTGATAAAAAAGACTCAATTGATGTGGGTCTCTTTTAACTTTTAAGATAGCTCAGTGGTGGTGAATGCTATTAATTAACCAGGCAAGTTCATCTTGTTCTTATTTTGGCTCGGCATAGAAGATTTATTTCTTTATTTTCTTTTTTTCGTTATGTGTCAATCTCAATTTCTTTGTATTCTATTCTCGTTCTGTTTGGAATCAGTTGAGTTGAAGAAACAAATCTTGTAAAAAAATAACCAGGCAAGTTCATCTCGTTCTTATTTTGGCTCGGCATAGAAGATTTATTTCTTTATTTTCTTTTTTTCGTTATGTGTCAATCTCAATTTCTTTGTATTCTATTCTCGTTCTGTTTGGAATCAATTGAGTTGAAGAAACAAATCTTGTAAAAAAATATGAGCAATTTAATGCCATTTTGGTCTGATATGATGCTAACTAAGGTTGTAAATGAACCAAATTGAATCACATATCGATGAATATGGTTTGTATTCGTTAGTTTTGGATAATATTTGTATTCATATCCGTATTCGATTTGGTTATTTTTAGAGATTAGTATTCGATTCATTTATCAGACACAATATATTCGATTCGTTTAAAAATATTCGTTTCATTTAAAATTTAAAATATCCTATAAACTTTGATTTATTTCTTAAAAAATGTGAATTATATTAATGTCTCTTTCCAAAAACTCTTTGCATAGATATAGTTTGGCATTAGCTATTAAGAAAAAAATTATAAACTCAAAGTTACATATTCAACAAGTAGAGTATAAACATACATTTGATTTTGAAGTAATTAATTAGTGAATTACCTATTTTTAAATACTCCGTATTTACTATTTTGATTCATATTTTCGAATACGTTTGTTTAGGAATCAAATCAAATATTGATATACTCCCTCCGTCCCGGAGTATTCGTCCAGTTTTGACTTTTGGAACTGTTCATCTAAGCACTTTGACTCATCAAATTCTATCAATGTGTAAGCCTAAATATAGTCATGTGTGATCTTGTTTGATTTGTCTTAACATATAGATTATTAATATATAATTTCTATAATTTTTTAATATACAAATTACAAGATAAAATGGATTAAAGAAGTGTATTGGATGGTGTGTAAAAATGAAAGTTGACAAATACTCTGGGACGGAAGTAGTACTATGTATTCATTTGAATACGAATAAGTACAAATGAATACAAAACAAGAATTAAATAGAAGTTATTCCGTTCGGCCCCGTTTGGCATCAACGTCAGAGATTAGCGTTAGCGTTTTGAAAAAGCTATCCGACGGTAGTCTTTAGCGTTAGCGTTTTCAGAAATAATCTGTCCCGTTAAAATTTTATCCAAAACGCTAACGCTAATCGAAAACGCTCCTACCAAACAAAGCCTTCATTTACAACCCTAATAATAGTCTAATACTACTACCAAGCTACCCTATGTGCGCGTGTCTCTGTCTCGTCACTCTCTTCTCTCTACGCGTATCAGCCACCCCACCCCCGTCCGTCTCTCTCTGCGCGCCCTCCATCTCCGTCAGGCTCCACAAGTCCTTCGCCCAACTCTTTTTCCGGTACGCCCGTCTCCCTATCGTAATCTGTACGTAGTATTTCGTTTTTTTTAATTTCAAATACAAAATCAAATGAAAGCTCCACAAAATCCCAAATTGTATAATGTTTTTCGACTTTCTGATACCTACGTTTCTCCCTAATGCTATTTTCTATTTCGATTTTTGTATTCGTTTTTTCTACCGGCGTTTTCCATTAATAATTATCTTATTATCTTATGTATTTGAAAGTCTAACAAATCAAATAACTTAAGTTTTAGGGGTCTGAATGCGTTCGATTTGTTTAGATTATCAGCTAGGGTGATAAATCGCAAATCTCTTTTGTGTAAGCTTGCGAAAATCTACTTCTTGTAAGCTCGATTCGTTCAATTCATTGCTATGTTGCTTATTTGGAGGCTGAAGTCTTGCTCATTTGCAAGCTGAATTGTTTCTGATTTAGAGGCATAATTTGAGCATAGTTTGTGTATGGTGGAAGCTTAAATATTTGGTTTGTGCATGGAAGAAGCTTGGTTTCGGAGTTTGAAATTTTTTTAACAAGATATACCCAAAGACACAAATATTGCATATAAAAGAGTTCTATATAAATAAAAATTGAAATACTATAAAAATAACGAAAAAATTCCAAAGTAGAAAAAAAAAGAATAAATTTCTATTCTTTTATAAAAAATAAAATTTAATTTGAGTAGAAATAGATCAATTTAAATAAAAAATATGAGTATAATCATTGCAGTGGTAGTGAGGCACTACGAGTGTGGAGTGAGTGAGATGGTGAGTGCACTCAATGCTGATGTGGCGCTGAGTGGCTGCTGATTTGGAGTGAGCACTGGTGGAGTGCTACAGATAGGCTTACTAGGAGTATAAGTCTTGTTCTAATTATAATCAGATTAAATTTCCATGTTGATAAAACTCTTGTGATAAAAGAGAGAGTAATATTAGAGACGCCAATATTTAAAAAACTCGTTAAGAGTTATACGTGGAAAACAATTTTGGGTCAAAGAACAGATTATGGAATGACTCTCAAATATCAACTTATCAAGGACCACGAATGTAACTCCTAGAATTGGGGATTATGAATTTAATCTTTTTAAACACTAAACAAGCGATCAGAATCTAATCGCACTAAGTGTAACTTCAAGGTGATAAACAAAAGCAAAAGTCTCCAAAGGTAAGCCGTAGTGGTGAGATGGGGAAGCAAAAAAGGAAAGAGATTGTTAAAGCAAACAAGAGCGACGACGAGAACAGGAGCACTGAATCCGGAGGGGCGACAAGTGAAGTTATCAATGAGATTACACAAGAAGTTTCTGCTGCACATACAGTGAAGTCTCGCCCCATCTTTATCCTGGAAGACGCCTCTCTTGAAGTAGGCCTTGTTCGTAAGGTAAGAGATAATTTGCCTTTTATTATAGGTTTTATCTTGTTGCTGTCTAACCGCTGGTGTCAATTGCTGTTCTATACCTATTGAATTGTTAGAAACGTAAGATTCTGAGTTCTAGTGAAGATAGCAGCTTCCTGTTAAAGCAGGGGAGAAATCCAAACAATTATCGTCCTGACATTTTTTTTGAGGTTTGAACCTTTGCTCTCCTTTTATCCCTTCCTACGATACATGTTCCATCCGTGCTGATCAACATTGTCTTGTTTCACTACATATTTGTTCGCGATTGTATAAATTTTGTCACAATTCCGAATGGTTGCGCTTTAGTGCTTGTTTTTTGTGTGTAGAAATTGCAAAACTATGGGTAGCCTTTGATGTGCAGGCACTTCGCGCAATCTTAGATAGCCCTCTAAATAAAGTAGGAATGGTTGGAGCTGTGTATGCCAAAACTAATTCTGGTGTTGTTTTGGAGGTCAAGCCCCATACTCGTATACCTAGAACGTGCAAACGATTTTGTGGTCTTATGGGTAAGTTTTTATTAAAGTGAAGATGGCGAGATGTGCAAGTATTTTCATACCGGTGTTGGTGTGAGCTAGTGACTTGAAAAATCACTAGACATGATTCCTTTAGGCTTAGAATCTGTTTAGTATTCCCTGAACTGAAGTTGAATTTTACACGTTCTTTATTCTATACTGTATGCTTATACATTTTCAAGCTTCTCATTTGTCTTTTGACTAAGCGCTCACTTTGCAATATACATAGTGGAGCTGTTCCAGAAATCTTGTGTTCGTGCCAAAGATACTGGAGAAGTTCTTATTCGAGTCCTTCAAGGGCCTTTGACACAGCATATACCTGAAAATGCCCGTGTAATTGGTGAGGTCTTGTCATTTTTTCTTCCTATAAAAAACATTGTTCCTGATTGTAGTATATGTGGCTAGAGCAAGTGACTAGCTTTTGTCACACATGCTAGGTCTATCATATAGTTCAGAGAAGGTGGTTGATATAGAGGACTATGTTTCTACTTTGCCAGATGAACTGGATGTTGTTTTTGTGGTATTTCTCTCACCTTTTATATTTTGTGTTTGCACCTTATAGTGCACACCTCTCTGCCTCTCGAGGGATCTCTTGTATGCAGCTGATGTGATGATTTGTCATTTCAGGTGGGTACGATGGCCAATGGTAAAGTTAGCCAGGACGGAAAGGATGACTATATTTCAGGTAAACCACCTTTTATTTTGCCACTATTATGGAACTTGTACACGCATGCACTTTTCCTAGGTAATTGCTGCTATTTTTTGCACGAGGATTTTGTAGTTCTTGGTCTCTTTCCTAGCGCCATCATCATCTTTTTCATATTAATAAACGCGCCACCTGCCACATACTTTCTTGTTTTGTGACATTCAGGTTGAGTGTGGATCTTAACTAATCTTAGTTGAACTGTGTGTATCAGTAAGTTTGATTTAGACGTACTCTGTAATATGAGATGGGCTTGTAAAATGATGTTGATGATCTTTCACAGAAGATGTAAAATACAAGTTTTTGCTAGTTTTTTTTCTTTCCCGAAACAGAATTTCAGATACCCATTAGAAGAGGAATACACGGTTTCATAGCAGCAGTTTTATGCTTATATTTTTTTCCGGCTCAGAAACACCTCATTCATCCTGTCAAGTTTCATGACTTTATCTATTTGTTCTATGTGTTCACCTATATCCTCGATCAGACCTGAGCTGCTGCTGATGAGTTTATCACTTGCTAATTGTTAAATATAGTGTTTCTATATTTAATATATTGTGTAGTTATTATTGTATATTGTATATACTAGTTACCATGTGTGTATAGGTTACCTTAATTATATGTTTCCTAACATAACTAGGACTCTCCTAGTATATATATATCTTGTAATATACACATTATCATTATTGGAAATTATTCAATCTTTCACTAATGATTCAGTTTCACACTATCCACTTGGTGCAAAGTGCTGTGCTGGGTTGATCTGTGAGGCACTGGAGCAAAAATGGAATATCTGATATGCAATTTGCCTGGGGGAAGGAAGGATTGCTGTCAACATATTTACTGCAAGTGATCTTGGTTCTTGCTTGGACCCGTTTGTCACAGGCTTCTGGAGTAAGGTGAAGTCTTCAAGGAAGAGTTTAGGACATGAAATAGGAGGGAGGGGTTCTAATATTACCCTGCTGTATGTAATTTGCTATCTTTCTTTCAAGTTATTTGTCCACGGGGCCAGGGCATTTGTTTTTAATTATAATGTGTTTAAAGCATTTATCCAGGCTTTGAATTTTGACTTGCTGAATGTCATCCTCTATTGATGGAATGAAACTGGTTCTCTGTTGGATGAGTGTTGCCCATGAACATGATGCCCGGTAAGGTGTGATTAGTCTAGACTAGTAGGGTTTTGAATATGGCCCGGCCCTGATCGTTCTGGGACCGAATAGGCCCTTTTCCTGGACTGGTAACAGATTGAATATGGTAAAATAGGACCAATTTGCATTATTTATACTTTTTTGTTTTATTTTTTGAAAAATTATTATTATTTTTACTCTCATTAAAAATACGGAGTGCCATATTGCACAAAATGTACACTTATTAACTCTTGGTAAGGTATACTTAGAAGTCTTTTTCCTTTTTTTCTCTTACAAATCCTTTATCCTTTCTATTAAAAAAATACTTTTATTCTTATTGATTTTAATTCTATCACATCATTAGGGTTGTTCAAATTTAGATCCGGTTCGAAAAAACCGATCGAACTTGGACTGATTGGATTGTAGATCAGTCTTTGGTTCAAAAAAATTAAGCATTCGAGTTATGGTTCAGTTTGTTCCAAATTTGAAATGGTTTAGGTCCGAACCGATTGGACCGAATGGAGTTAATAATCCTATACTACCTAATAAAATTTTACTCTTTCCATCCAAAACTTTCTTCCCACTTCTCTTTTTTCTCCGTCTTAAAACTACCTTTCCATTAGAAAAAAAAGATAACAAATGACATTAATACCCTCATGTATTTACACTTATTATCTTCTAACTCTATATTTTGAATGATTGCAAAAAAAATTTGCAAAAAATCTTTTTTAAGGAGGGTAAAATTTGAAGTCAAAGTTAAAAATTAAAATTGGGGAAAAGTTAAACCGAGAAGAAAGTTTTAGGATGGAGGGAGTACTTTTTAAGTTTGATATTGCATGTTGATGTTCTATTTTGATAGACATCTTAATTTATTAAATTTAGAAGTTTTTTTATTAAGTGAGTAAATTTTTTAACAATTCAAAAAAATAATAATTTCACATTAGTTTTTAGGATTATACATAGAAGTAGACAAGTAGTCAATATTGTGTATATATTTTTAGTTTGTCCATTTTTTTCCTATTTGCACAGTACAAATTTAAAAGCCTAAAAAATAATTAATATATCAAAATAATTTAAATTTTTTTTGGTCCATCCAGTCTGGACCAGTTCGATCTCAAGTATTTCATCATACCTTATAAGAGCATGAGTAATGTCAAGTAAAAAACAAAATGCCATACACTCACATGGAGTATCTTAACTAATTAAAATTAGTCCAGTCACCTTGTGGTAAGTCAATGAAATGATATGCTTTGCAATGATAAGTTATTATTTTTGTCATTTTTTACACTTTTCAATGTTTTTTAATTATTAAATTTTTTACTCATCTTTTTTGAATAATAATAATAAATGTACTCTTTTTTTAAAAAATCTTCTTTCTTCTCCAAAAAAAGCTAAGAAAAAAGAAAAGGAAGATGGCTTGAGGCTTCCATGCCGAGCATGGCAAAACAGCATAGCCACACGAGGCAAATGCAAGTATTTGATGATGTGACAGCGCATGGCAAAGAGTTGCCTCACCCTCTCATTGTTGTAATAATCTTTCTATCACATCATGAGTAATTTAAGAAAGTCAATATAAAAATATCCATCTTTAAAACATATAAAAATCAAAACAATAAAGTAATTTAAGGTCAGAGGGAGTATATCCTTTAACATAAAAATTAGAACACACCTAATGCTTCGACACCTAGTTCAGAATAGGGTAGTACGTCGAAGGGCGTCGAATCAACAACCACGGCAACCGTTAACCCCTTTGTGGATAATCCGAAATCGTATGCGGAAACTGTTGGTAAATCTGATGAGTTAATGTTAGATTTGAGCTACATAGCGGCTAAGGAGATTGATGGTAATAGGGTTGCTGGTTTTTTTCCATCATCTCCCATGGAGCCAAAATTTCACCATTTTTTGGCTTTGGGTGTGATGGAATAAATCAAAATGGATCTCTAAACTGTCTGCGCTTCTTTAATTAATGAAGTAGCAGTTAGTCAAGCAATGCAACTTTTGACGTTAAGCCGGGGGTCTCTTTGGAAACAGTCTCTCTACTTTCGAGTAGGGGTAAGGTCTGCGTACACACACCTACTTTCGGGGGTCTCTTTGTTGTTGTTGTTGTTGTTGTTGTTGTTGTAAGGTTGCTGATTTTAAAGAAGGGACAGTCTATTACTCCCTCCGTCCGAAAATATTCTTCTCACTTTCTTTTTTGGTCCGTCTGGAAATATTCTTCCCATTTTCTTTTTTAGTATACTTTTTAAGGATAAATATCAATAATACACTTCTATTTTATCACAAATATACTTTTTTAGTACTTTTTTAATAATAAAAGGAGATTTAAAAGTTTATAGTATGTGCATTTTTTGAAAATTTTGCATTTTTTTTACTATTTCTTAATAAGCGTGCCAAGTCAACACGGGAAGAATATTTTCGGACGGAGGGAGTATTAATTTTCGAGAAGAAAAGGATATAGATGAAGTAATTAAAAGAAAGTATTGCCATTTTGACTCAAAACCCATGTTGGTTCAAAAGTGAAAACTTTGAATGAATGTTGATGTCAATGATCTGCAAGATATCTCTATCCATGCAATTTTCGGATTTAGAAATGAAATACTGGCTTCAAAAGATTGGGAAGCCTTATAGGTAAACCAATCAAAAGGGATAAAGCTACAACATCTAGAACAAAATTGGTTAATTGGGGTATGCTCGCATCCAAGTAGAAGTTAAAGTGCATCAGGAATTTCCTTTTAAACTAACTTTTGTGGATGAAGACTTAAGAGCTATAACCCAAAGAATACATTTTGAATGGTCAAGGAGGAAATACCCTCTGAAGGAACGAAGCTATTACACATGGTCCAATAAGCAAGGATCTGGTAAAAGAATCTACTCTAGACTGGATAGGGGCTTTCTCTAATATAAATATAGAATGGATGACTACAATTAATTCTAAGGTGATTGTCAAGCAAGAAGGTTTGTCTGACCATTCTCCTCTCCCTATCTATATTTGGGAGCATGAGAAAAGAAGAACCGCTTTCAAGTTCAAGTTTTGTGGTTCAAAGATATATTACATAACATTTGGAACCAAGACATTCCAGGTACTTATATGTACCTACTGAATTGTCTACGCCATTGTCTTCGTGAAAAGAGCTTCGATCAGCTTCATCAGAGTCAGAGGACATTCACAATGTGAGAGGAAAAAGAGGATAAAATTTTAGAAGATCAGTAAAAAAGAATTGATTCAGGGTGTGTGTTTAGTGTGTGATTGAGGGTGTGTGTTTAGAAGACTAGTAAAATAATAGTGATTGACAATATTTAGTGTGTGTGATACATTACTCTAAATAAATACTACGTACGAAGTAATAGTAATTAATGCTTTTTTTTACAATTGCATACTTCAAATTAAATAGATAAAATCAAAGTTTAAAAAAAATAAAAAATTATCCTTATTCGGTCTGATCCTAGGCTGATCCTTATCTAATTAAGTCCGGTCCTCCGTCCATGAAATGCATCTTATTCGGTCTCAGATTGATCGGTTTGGTCTGAATTTGGATTGATGCACACACCTAGTTTGAATCATATCATAGACATATAACACTGTACAATAGTTGTTTGATGTACTTGCATAGTTGCATAGACTTTGGAGAAGTAGTCTTATAGATATTCTGACTACATTTGTGTGCTTGAATTTTTTAAAAGTATAGTATTCAGAGCAGCTGTGTGATATACATTTTGACTACTTTTCAAACTAGTAATGTGATTCATCAAAGGAAAAAAAATCAACAAATAGTAGTGTGAACCACAAAATAAACAAACAGTAGTTGACATCATAGAACAATTAATAAAAAACATAGTCCTCTAAATCTCTAAAAAATATTTTCTTACACCTACAAAGACAATATTAGAAACCAGTATTCTGAAACACTAGGAAAAAGTTATTTGTTTCGGTTTCACACAACCGTTTTAGACTAGAAGTCGGTCTGTCTATCACATAGCTTCTCCGAGGACTACTACTAAATCATCACTTTAAGACCACTAAACAAATGGTTGTCTGATTTAAATTCTAGCATAATGCCACTTGTCAAATAAATTGAATTGAAAATAACTTTAGTCAAACATCATAAATCGAAATAAATGATTTAAATTGGGACAAATGGATCGTCACATTATTTGGAAGAGTCTAGTATTGTAACAAGCTAAGGTGTTTGTTTTCCTGTGTTGTACTTTGTAATACTTTACTCTTTATATAATAAAAAGCAAAAAAATGCTGTGAAGTACCTCATGTTTTGTGGTAAAAACTGCAAGTATTCATAATTTTCAAAATATACTCTCAGATACCTAAATTTTAAAAAAACTTATTAAGAGGATACTTTCCATCACTTTCTCCGTCTACCTCATTTCATTTGTCAAATAACCCAAATTCATCATCATCATCACCATCACCATCACCATCACCATCACCATCACCATCACCATCACCCATCTTCATTCTTCCTCCTCTCTTCTTCTTTTTCTCTTTCTTCTTTTTCTTCTCCTCCACCCACTTCCAATCTTCCTAACCCCCACGGCCCCACCCCTCACCTTTTATTTCTTCTTCTTCTCCTTCTTCTTCTACTACTACTACTACTACTACTACTACTACTACTACTACTACTACTACTACTACTACTACTACTACAACTACTACTTACTACTATTATTATTATTATTATTATTGTTATTATTATTAGTAGTATCATCATCATCATTCTTTTTGTTAACAAAAAACCATCATTCTTATTATATTATTACTACGTATTATTATTATTTATTACAAAGTATTATTTTCTTCTACTAAATTACTATTGTTAATATTAAAAATTAAAATTAATAATTTTTTAATATTAAAACTAATTATTATTATATATTTATTACGAAGTATAATTTTCTTCTACCTCTACTATTTATTATTATTATGAAGTAATATTTTCTTCTTCTTCTATTATTATTATTCATTATTATTATTATTATTATTAAAAATTAATTAATAGTTTCACTATAAAATTGAAGGTGCCCGACAGTTCTAAGCAAA